GCGGTGGCCGGGAGTGGCCACTGCACTCCAGTCTGGGCGACAGAGTGAGACTCCAACTCAAAAAAAAGGAAAAACTTTCATAATAAAAATATCAATGAGAGGAAGGTAATGTGGAGTGCCTGCTAATGAGCATGGGTTTATTTTGTTCATAATAAAAAGTCAAAATTTTGATAGCTCACACGTATAAATCCCAACACTTTGGGAGGCTGAGGCGAGAGGATCACTTTGAGCCTAAGAGTTTGGACCAGCAGGGGCAACAGAGTGAGACTGCAACCTCATCTCTATCAAAATAAAAAAAGTCAAAATTTTATTTATTTATTTTTTTGAGTTGGAGTTTCACTCTATCGTACAGGCTGGAGTGCAGTGGCACACTCACAGCTACCCCAGAGTCAACCTGCTGGCTCCGGCAATCCTTCTGCCTTCCAAGTAGCTGTAACTACAGACGCACACTACCACGCCCGGCTAATTTTTGATTTATTGTAGAGACAAGGTCTCACCAAATTGCCCAGGCTGGTCTCGAACCCGCAGGTTCAGGCAATCCACTCACCTCGGCCTCCCAAAGTGCTGGGATTACAGGCTGAGCCACCGATCTCGGCCGCAAGTCAAAATTTTATAAACAGGAAGAGGTACCTTGCAAAGAAGCAAGGTGGGAAATGACTCAAGGGACCCTTCATCCTCTGGCTAGAGCCAACAAGGTGGCAAAGGTAAAATACCAGGCAAAGAGCCTGCCCGCAGCAGAAACCCAGAGAATGCTAGTTCCTTCTTGTCTCTCTTTTTCAGAGTATAACTTATCTCTGTTTGGAAGACAGAACATGCTTCTCATACCATTGCCTGTGATCGTCTCCTCTTGAGGGCCCTTTGGGACATTTTCTTCCAGTGAGGTCTTGAGAGAACACTCTTCTGAAGCATGTTTTAAACGCTCAGGATCTGCTCTCTTGAACTGCTGCATCCGCTGTAGGATAAGCTCTGTTGTGCGGGGTTTCGAGGGACTTGGCACCATTGTTGTCAAACAGGAAGGAGGGGGCCAGGAGTCGCTGTTGGGAGTACTCTCTGGCAGGGAGGAAAATATTCACAAGTATCTGTTGTAGCTGGATAAATAAAAGACTTTTCCACCAGACACAGGTTAGACCCAAATATCAAAGGGGATCCCTTAGCAACTAGTTTGGGCTGGACTCACAAATGTGAAGAGTCAAAATTTTAGAAAGAGGAAGAGGTACCTTGTTAAAGAAGCTAGGTGGGAAATGACTCAAGGGACCCTTCATCCTCTGGCTAGAGCCAATTAATTGCTTGTTGGTAATCTCTTTGCAATGCAGAATAAGTACCAATGACAGGAAGGGAATGGGAAGTGACTGCTAATGAGCACGGGGTTTATTTTTGGGATGAAACCATTCTAAAATTAGGTAGTGGTGGTGGTTACACAACTCTGTGAATGCACTAAAAACCACTGACCTATACCCTTCAAAGGGTGAATTTTATGGAATGTTAATTTTTGAGTCAGGATCTCAACCTGTCACCAGGCTGTAGTGCAGTGACATGATCACGGTTCACTGCAGCATTGACATCCCAGGATCAGGCCATCCTTCCAACTTAGCCTCCTGTGTAGGTGGGACTATAGGCACACGTCACTACCCAGGCTAATTTTTTTTCCTAAATTTTTTGTGGAGATAAAGTCTTGCTATATTGCCCAGACTAGTCTTGAACTCCCGGCTCAAATGATCCTCCCGCCTCAGCCTCCCAAAGTGCTGAGATACAGGCGTGAGTCCCTCATGCCTGGCCTATTATTTAATAATCACTTTATTAGGGTAGCACTTTGGGAGGCCCAAGTGGGAGGTTCACTTGAGCCCAGGAGTTCAAGATCAGCCTGGCTGGTCAACATAGCGAGATCTCATCTCTTAAAAAAAAAAATTAGCATGACAGCACATGTTTGTAGTCCCAGTTACTTGGGAGGCTGAGATGAAAGAATCACCTGAGCCCTGGACGTTGAGACTGCAGTGAGCCATGATCATGCTACTGCACTCCATCCAGCCTGGGTGACAGAGTGAGACCCCAACTTTAAAAAAAAATGACAAAGGCTTATATGTCTTCTAGATGAGAAGTTCTCCTTTAACTTGGGATCCATAGATGAACTTCAGTGGGGATCCATGAACCCCCTTGAAGTTGTGTGACAATTTCACAGGTATGCATGTGGATACAGTTTCCTGGGGAATCATGCATAGTTTTTATCAGACTTGCAAAGAGAATATGAGAAACCAACAATGGCACAGGAACATTTGTTGAAGCCTTACAATAGTCTTTGTGAGATAAGACTTTGCCACCAATCTACTGAGAAGCTATGCTGACCACACCAGGAAAAAAAAAATTTAAATCAGAAAGTGAAGGTGAGGAAAAATTAGAAACAGAACTCAGGAGCCCTAAGAGTTTGTGGTGCAAGGCTGGTTTTCCATTCGGCATGAAGAATGTACGCTCAGCATCCCAAGGAGAGCAGGGCAAGAAAGCTGCTTTAAACAAATAATCGGCAAAGGAAAAGAACAAAGAGTCTTTAGAGGAAAGGAAGGACCTGAAGATTCTCCTGGGACTTGAACCCATACAGCACCCTCATCGGCCTTCCCAGCAGCCTACCCAAATTGGCTGGCCCCTACCTACTTTGGAATGAACCTGAAAAAAATGAGAGCAGCATCATTTTCATGTTTGTGTAACTCATGTCAGCCATATAATGTGAACGTTCATAGAAAATTCTGAAAGAGCAGAGGACAATCATGCAAAAAATTCAAACAGGGGTTGTATTTTTTATGACTGTTGTTTAAGCCAGGAGTTGGAAAACTATGATCATGGGGCTGGCTGCTTGTTTCTGTAAATAGGGTTTTATTTGGCATATGGCCATACCCATTCATTTAAATATTGTCTATTTCTGTTTTCTCACTCCAACAGCAGAGTTGAACAGCTGCAACAAAGACAATATGGCCTACAAAACAAAATACTATCTGGCCTTTTTCAAAAAGTGTCTCAACTCCTGGCTTAAATAGCACAAATCATCTTTGGTTTCATCTCTAGAAAGCTTTAGCAGTAGTTTCCACTCGGTTCTCACCTGTCTGGGTGTTCTGTGCTCTTTCCCAGAGCACAGGCTGATTTGGAGCAGGAGCAAGTACACCTCCCTCCCCATTCACAGCAAGAGCTGTTTCACTTGCTTGCGACTTGGTTGCCCCTTGCCTTTTAGTCCTAGGGGCCTGACTGCCAGACCGAGGTTTCCTCTCTGTGGGGCCTTGAAGGGTTTTGCTCTTGGTAGCAGTTTGTTTGGTTCTTTTCGATTTGCTTCTTATCTGAGTGCTATTTGAGGCCTTTTGTGTCTTCCTGTCTCCTGGCACTTCCTTGTTTCCATGTTTTTTCACCCTTTGGAAAAAGCTGGCACAGAGTTCTTTAAAATCCTCATCTGACTCATCCATCATCTGATCGGTTTTAAAGGTTTCAGGCTGGTGTTCAGAAGAGTGAGGGTCAATCTAGGGGCATTTACACAGAAGAGAAAGTGGACACAAGTATGAGGCTAGCTGAGCCTCATTCACACTCACAGCTTCATTAGAGTTTCTCTCTACTTCTCACTTAGATACTTGGTGAGTTTCACAATTGAACAAAAAGTTTTCCTCTGCACAATGATTTAAATATCTTTTCAAATTGGGCCTATGGTTAAACAATGATTTAAATATCTTCTCAAATTGGGTCTATGGTTAAATAACACGTTTAAAGCTTCGCTCTGTTAAAGTTCACAAATGAATCTTTTATCATCCAGTAGATGCCTCTGAGATTTAGAATACATAAGAAGTTGGTGTTCAGATGATTCTCCAAGATCTCCATGGTGATAAAGCACATGTGGTTCATTAAATTTCACATCTGTGGAAAACCAGACGCATGAAAGTGTAATTAGACAGATATTGTCATTTTATACCATTTCTTCCAGGGCATGTGGGGTAAGGGACAAGTCTTAAGAGTAACAATACCGGCCGGGCTTGGTGGCTCAGCCTGTAATCCCAGCACTTTGGGAGGCCGAGGTGAGTGGATTGCCTGAGCCTGTGGGTTCGAGACCCACCTGGGCAACTTGGTGAGACCTCATCTCTACAATAAATCAAAAATTAGCCGGGCGTGGTAGCACGTACCTGTAGTTCCAGCTACTTGGAAGGCTGAGGTGGAAGGATCACCAGAACCCAACAGGTCGAGATCGCAGTGGCCGGGAGCGGCCACTGTACTCCAGTCTGGGTAACAGAGTGAGACTCCAACTCAAAAAAAAAAAAAAAAAAAGAGTAACAATACACCTGTTAAATACAGCCTGATTAACAGTCTAATTGTCCTACCAGACATCACAACACAACTGAAGAGAGATCTAGAAACCTGTCAAAGCATATTCTGCCACAGGCAGAAAAATGTGTATCTTGGGAGAGTTGTTTTTTTTTAATTAATTTACGGAAATTTGGGGAACAAACCCCATGAAGGACAGTTGCCACAGAAACCGGATGATCCCCAAATCTAGGGAAACTATCTTCCATAGAGCCTAAAACCCCCAGTTATTAGAGGTTCTATCTGCAAATATTGCAACATGAGAGACAGTAAAAGTATATCCTCATGAGCACTCAGAAGAGAAAAGGTCACTTATCTTTGTCTTCTCAGCCCAACAAGACCTCTCCAAACTCAGACAACTGTAATACTATATGCACAGTTTTGGGCTTATGAGCATGGTTATTTACTTTGGCACAAAGCTTAGTAGGGTTTAAAAATCAAAACAATGATCCAATGTCAGAAAGTTCTTCATTTCAAATAACACCAATGCAGTTGCCACTGTCCGAGTAATCTGATTAATCATTTCATTTTCCAGAACTGGGTAGATACTCCTACCTAGAATCAACTTTGTATGGCTGGTTCATTCTCGTCTTCCATGTCTCCTCCTTAGAGAAGTCTCCCTTAATCCTTTAAATAGAACTTCTCCACCCCCACTGTAATCTCTATCATCACCCACTCTTTTCACATTGGCATTTGTAACAGATTATAATCATATGTAACAGGTAACATTTACTGAATGCTTACTGTGTGCCAGGCACTGTTCTGTTTGCTTTTCAAGTCTAACTCATTTAATCCTTTTAACAATCCTATATAGTGGAATCTAATGCCATCCTCCCTCCCTTTACAGCAAGGAACCAGGCAAAAGCCGAGTGAGAAATTGGCTCAAGTTCACACCGTTTTTTGAAACGGCAGGGCTGGGATTAAACCCAGGCAGTGTGGTTCCATAGGATCCACTTTTATATTTTTATTCATCGACTTATTATGGCCCCCCACTAAGCTCAACACTTCAGGAGGACACAAACCCCTCTATTTTACTTTGTATTCTCTTTGGCTGATCCAGTGCCTGACTTGTAATCAAGTGCTCAACAACCATCAGAATGAACACAAAGTGGTTGGCGAGAAGGCTGCAGGGAGAGGCAGAGGTCAGCTCACAAAGGCCTGGAAGGCTAAGCAAACTGAATTTTATCCTGTGGAAGGTGGGGAGTGGCTAGGGCCAATGCCACCCTCCACAACGGTGTTGTCTCCACATCTCTGTTGATAGGAGTCTTAAAACAGTTCGTCTCCTATAGGTGCTCAATCGATATTTACTGAATGATACAACGGGTCCTACAAGATCGCAGGTTTCCAGAAAGGAGGGCACTTGTGCCTCCCCAGCTTCGAACCTACCAAGGCGCCTAGCTCGCGGCGAGCGCGGAATGAATGAATGAGTGAATGAATGAATGAATGAATGAATGGATCGGTGCGGGTCCTCCCCCCAAACCCGCGGCGAACGGAAAGAGGGCTGAGGGAGCCGTTTGGGTAAGGGCCACCAAGGTCTGACGGCTCTAAAGCCAGGCGGAGAATCCGGATCGCCGGACCGGCCCCGGGCCGTAACCCTCGCGGGTATCTGGATCCACCACCCTTCCTCCCTCCAGACGGGCCCTGAACCCTCTCCACCCGACGCGGCTCCTGTCTCTCCCGGGGACTTGTGGGACTGCCGAGGCCAGAGGACCAGCGTGGGAGGCGGGTGAGAAAGGCTATTCCCCCTGAGGAGAGCGAGAACGGCCCGAGGTGGCAGGACCCGCTCCTCCCGACGGCAGACGCTCAGCCCCAAAGCCCGGCTCCTCCTACCTCCGGCGCCGCCGCGGCACCTTCTCAACGGAGACTCGCGCGCCTGCGCTTGCGCCATCCATCGCCCCTCCTCCCAACCGGCGGACAATTGCTTGTGCGCAGGCGCAGAGCAGTCGCGCGGGGGATTGGGGGAACGGTTCACTTCCCATCTTCCTCTGCGGCTCCGGCGCGGGCCCGCGGCGGCTAGCGCTTCCGGGCGACGCTAGGCGGAGGCGGCGGAAGTGGAGCCTGACTGGTCGTTTGGCCGCCGCCTGCGCCCAGATAAAGTCCAATAATTGTTGAGGAGTCTGGGTGAGCTTGAGGCACTGTCGCAGTTCTGAGGTGAAAGTCTGGTTCCTCCACAGTTCCCTCGGGAAATGTGGCGGTCCCCGCGGAGCACACTTGCCTGTGGAGCACACGGGAGTCGAGGGGGTGGGGAGAGACACCCAGTCTGGCCCGACGAACCCGGGGAGCCTCCTCCGTCGAGGGCCTGCGGCTAGGGCTGGAGGTCGAGAGGCGCTACCGCGCTGAAGAGAGCCTCACGCCGCGCGTGCCAGGCCTGGGGGCGATACCCCCGGTCCTCAGCCGGGCTAGGGCGGAGTTGACGAGAGGCTGAGGAAAGACGAGACTGGCGGGAGAGGGTCGCCACGACTGAAGTCTGAGAGACTTTGTACAGCGTATGCAGGGTTTGAGCTGCAACCTGGGGTCATCGGGGGCCATAGAAGATTGCATTTTGTTTTTTTGAGTTGGAGTCTCTCTCCGTCACCCAGGTTGGAGTGCAGTGGCACACTCAAACTGCTGGGCTCCGGCGATCTTTCCGCCTTAGCCTTCCAAGTAGCTGGAACTACAGGCGCGCGCTACCATGCCTGGCTGTTTTTTATTTTATTGTAGAGACAAGGTCTCGTCAAGTTGCTCGGGCTGGTCTCGAATCCGCGACCTCCCAAAGTGCTGGGATTACAGTCTGAGCCACCGAGCCTGGCCCTGCCTTTTTTTTTTTAAAGCCGTTGTAATTGCGATGTTAAAATAGACCGGGGGAAGCAAAAAGTCCCGTTAGGAGGCTGCTATATTTAGGGGAGAAAGGAGGGTGGCCCGAATTAGGAAGAGGAGTGAAGAGAATGGAGGAGTATTGAGGTGCTAGAATTGTCATGACCTTGTTTGTGGGATTTGCACGTGTCTGGCCCGAGCATCTGAGTGGAGTGTGGTCCTGGTCACTGAAGTCATGGACACAGGAGAAGCCTGAAGAAGTAGGTTTGGAGGGAAGCTAATGTTTATTTTTTAAAGATGTAATTCACATACAAAATCCACGCTTTTTATTTTTTGGGTTGGAGTCAGTGGCACGCTCCTGGCCACCACAGCCTCTGCCTACAGGGCTCAGGCGATCCTTCCAAGTAGCTGGAACCACAGGTATGTGCCACCATGCCCAGCTAATTTTTTGATTTATTGTAGAGAATTCTCACCAAGTTGCCCAGGCTGGTCTTGAACTCCAGAACTCACGCAATCCTCTCGCCTCTGCCTCTCAAAGTGCTGGAATTACAGACTTGAGCCACCATGCCTGGCTAAAATCCATGTGTTTTAAAGTGTACAATTCAGTGGTTTGGAGTACATTCACAAAATTGTGCTGCCATTGTTAACTGTCTAATTCCGGAACATTTTAAAGCCCCAAATAGAAACTGCTGTACCTGTTAACAGTCACTCCTCATCCCCGGCACCCCATCTCTTGGCAGTCACTAATCTGTTTTCTGTTTCTATAGGTTTCCCATCTGGTTCATTTTATATAAATGGAATCGTAGAGTATGTGGCTTTTTTTGACTTTCACTAAGCATGCTTTTAAGGTTCATCTACGTTGTAATATGAATTAGTACTTCAGTCCTTTGCATGGCTGAATAATAATCCCATGTATGAATATACCACTTTTTTTTATTCATTTGTCAGTTTATGGATACATGGATTTTGTACTTTTTGGCTATTATAAATAATAATGCTGTGAACATTTGTTCACAAGTTTTTGTGTTCCAGGAGTATAACTACTGGGTAAAACTGCATTTCATTTTGAATGTTGAGTTTCAAATGCTAATAGGACTTCCAAGAGGTTTTTTTAATGACAGTCTTAGGAAGTGCTACTTTTTCTTTGGCACTGGAAACCTAAGTTTGTAATAAGGTTCCCAATTGGATTAATGAAGTAAATAGAACAAGAGTGGTAGGCAGCTCAGAGGCATGAGTGGGGTAGGGTGTCTATTTGTGCCTTAGGGATTTTAATTTATAGAGGTGACTGAGTGACAACAAGGAGAGGCCAGTACCACTCCATGTGAAAGAATGTGTTACTTAATTTCTCAAGAAAAGGGGGAAGTGTCAGTTTTTGGTCAAGAAGTAGGAGCAAAGCTTAGGCCAAATCTTTATGGGCTTTCCTTAGGAATGGCAAGTGAGTGCAGAGCAAACATTTTTAGGATTGGATAATTTACATAATTTGAGCAGGCTCTGGGTGGTTTCTAGTTGCTTGCTTCCTGGCTATGGGATGATTTAGGGCAGAAGAAATACTGGTTTGATGTGTGAGAGTTAGATAAAAGGGGTGGTTGGCTTGACTATGAGAGGAATGCTCCCAAGTAAATTGTTTTCTGTGTTTAGGAATTAGCCCTGGGAGAGAAAGTTTCACCACTAGCAAGTTTTTTGGGTTTTTTTTTTTTTTTTTGAAAGCAGGATTTATTGAGAGGGCAGAAAAGCTCCCACAGTGGGCTCGAAGGGGTTGCCTGCAAGATTTTTAATATGTAAAAATATCATAAGATACAGAAAATTTCTTGAAGTGACTAACATGCGTGGGCATGGCTGGGATGATGGGAAGGGCAGTTGTAAAGGTGGAGATTGTTTTTCTCCAGTCAGATTGAAAATGAAGTGCCTGCCGGGCTCAGTGGCTCAGCCTGTAATCCCGCGCCTTTGGGAGGTTGAGGTGAGTGGATTGCCTGAGCCGGCGGGTTCGAGACCCGTCTGGGCAGTGAGACCTCATCTCTACAATAAATCAAAAAATCAGCCAGGCGTGGTAGCGCATGCCTGTAATTCCGGCTACTTGGAAGGCTGAGGCGGAAGGATCGCCGGAGCCCAGCAGGTCGAGGCTGCGGTGGCCGGGAGCGGCCACTGCACTCCAGTCTGGGCGACTGAGTGAGACTCCAACTCAAAAAAAAAAAAAAAAAAAGAAAGAAAGAAAATGAAGTGCCTGGATTCTATTTAGGATTTACATCTCTTAGAGACCCAATGAAGAAAACCCTTTCAGCTTTCCTCCCCTTAATCCAGAATCTGGCTATATTATTTATTTACATAAACTGATTCGTTGAATTATGATTTAGAGAAGGAAGTGTCCTTAAACCTGAAATTCTCAACAGACTCACCTGGAATTGTTTAAACTGGAAAGGCTGGGACATTACCCTTAGGCCTCCTGAATAAATCTTGGGGGAGAGTTTCCACCCTGTGTCTTTTCAGAGTTTCACAGATGATTCTGATGGTGTTTAGATTAAGAATCACTGCATTTAACAAACACCTATGGAGCAAATACTATAGGCTAAGTATAAAAGAGATACCAGAAGCGGTATAGGGGGTAACTGGGATTTGCAGTGAGACATAATTGCACCCTTCAAGAAACAAAATTACCCATAACTGGGACAAGTTACAGATTTTTTTCTTTGACCCACGGTGAGCAGTGGGATCCCCTTTTATCTTGGACCCTTTTGTGACTTATCTCCAACAGAAGTCCTGGGGTTCATACTCTTCCACTGGAATCAGGCAGAAGTCACCTAATGTGACTAAGTTGAAAGGCAGTGTTCAAAAACAATGTTACTAGGTCAGTGTTATTATAATGGGAGTACCACTGTATATTCCCTGCCAGTATTTGAGGGAGAAACCCACTGCAATGCCAAAACACTGAAATCAAGGAGATGAAGGAACATTTCAAATATTAAAAGGTGAGAATTGTTCTTGTGTTTGATAAACTTTACAGGGTTTATCTGGAAGAGAAAATGGATGTAGAAGTGAGTGAAGAATTTAGTGTTGGCCAGGCCTGTAATCCCAGCAATTTGGGGGGCTGAGGTGGAAGAATAGTTTGAGGCCAGCCTAGGCAACATAGTAAGACCTCACCTCTACAAAAAATTTTAAAAATTAGCCAGATGCATGACATGCCAAAATTTGTCCAGCTCCCTCTCATTTATCTCACAGTTACTCGGGAGGCTGAAGCGGAAGGATTGTCTGAGTCCAGGAGGTCAAGGCTACAGTGAGCTGTGATTGTGCCACTGCCCTCCAGCCTGGGGAAGAGAGTGAGACACAACACACACACACACACCTCAGTTTTTCTAGTTCATGAGAGACCATTTTTGGGTCCAAAGTAAAAGACAAAGGTTGACTATGCTGTGATTCTCACTTCCTTGCTGCCCTGGAATATTTCCTTCTTGATAGCTTTCAGTATCTTCACGAGGTAATGTTTTAAACAATTTTAGCCAGGCATGGTGGCTCATGCCTATAATCCCAACACTTTTGGAAAGCAGAAGCAAGAGGATTGCCTAAACCCTGGGGTTCGAGACCAGCCTGGGCAATTTGGTGAGACCTTGTGTCTACAATAAAATTTTTTTTTTTTAATTAGCCAAGCTTGGTGGCATGTACCTGTCCTGTAGTTCAGCTACTTGGAAGACTGAGGTATATGGATTGGAGTCTAGGTAAGACACCAGAAGCACAAGCAACAACAACAAAATAATAAATTGTACTTCATCAAAATTAAAAACTTGTGTATATCAAAGTACACTATCGAGAGTAAAAGACAACCCACAGAGTGGGAGAAAATATTTGTAAATCAAATACCTGATAAGGGTCTATGCTATGGTCTGAATGTTTGTGCCCCCCACCCCAATTCATGAGTTGAAATCCTTACACCTGAGTCTATATAGTACTAGGAAATAAGGCTTTGGGGGGATAATTTGGTCGTAGGGGTGGAGCCCTCATGAGTGCGATTGCTGCCTATGAAGAAGTGGGCCCTCACCAGCCACAGAATGTCAGCACCTTGATCTCTGACTTCTCAACCTCCAGAACTGTGAGAAATTAGCCACCCAGTCTGTGGTATTTGTCACAGCCTGAATGGACTAAGACAATCTACTAGCCACAATATATAAAGTATTCCTACAACTCAACAAAGACAGTGGGCATAGGACTATATTAATAGATACTTCAAAGAAGATATGTGGCAGAAAAGCACATGAAAAGATGGTCAACATCATTAAGCAGTATCAAAACCACAATGAGATACCACTTCACAGTCAGTAGAACAACAGTAAAAAAAAAAAAAAAAAAACAGACGGATCTCAGGTTGGGCGGTGGAAGGAGCAGCAAAGCTCTCCGTGTACCGCCGCCTGCAGGCACCCGGCACATACCCTGCCCGCCACCAAGATGCCCAAGAGGAAGGTCAGCTCTGGAGGAGTGGCAAAGAAGCCCAAGGGGAGATTGGCTCGGTTGTCAGCTAAACCTGCTCCTGCCAAAGTGAAAGTGAAGCCAAAGAAGGTAGCGGGAAAGGATAAATCAGACAAAAAAAGTGCAAGCAAAAGGGAAAAGGGGAGGGAAGGGAAAGCAGGCTGAAGTGGCTAACCAAGAAACTAAAGAAAAATTACCTGCCGAAAACGGAGAAACTAAACCGAGGAGGATCCAGCCTCTGATGAAGCAGGAGAGAAAGAAGCCTAATCTAAGTTATATATCCCATGTCTAATCAGTGGTTCCTGTCTCCCTTCTTATGCAATCCAGAGGAATATTTTTCTCAACTATTTTGTAAATGCAAGTTTTTTAGTAGCTCTAGAAACATTTTTAAGGAGGGAATCCCACCTCATCCCATTTTTTAAGTGTAAATGCCTTTTTTTAAGAGGTGAAATCATTTGCTGATTTATTTTTTGGTACAACAAGAAATTAGTGTCGGAATATTGAATTATGGGAGGGTTTGACTGTCTTGGGTATCAGCTTAACATTCCATAGATGGGAGTTAGTTTTCATATCCTATAATGCCAAGTATACTAAGTGGCAATATGTATCACAATCCTGCACTTAATGTCTTGAACATTTAAAATTACTTCTATTCCCATGTTGTTTTTTAGTAGAATTGTTTCCTAAAGAAAACCACTCCTTGATCATGGCTCTCCCTGTCAGAATTGTGTGCACTCTGTAACTTCTTTGGTTGTGGTAGTCCTGTTTTCCTAATAACTTTGTTAATGTGTTGTGAAAGATTGAAAAATGGAGTATGTTGTATATATGATAAATTGTGAGTTGGTGGGATATATGTAACAGCTTATCAACATTTGAAGATAGTGGTACTTGATATCCACTTAAGGAAAATTTGTCTCCAGATTTTAAGATGGAAAGTCACAGGATTAACTTTTTTTTTTTTTGAGTTGAAGTCTCACTTTGTCAAACAGACTGGAGTGCAGTAGCCACTCCCGGCCACTGCAGCCTCCACCTGCTAGGCTCCAGCGATCTTTCCACCTCAGCCTTCCGAGTAGCTGGAACTACAGGTGCACACTACCACACCCAGTTAATTTTTTATTTATTGTAGAGATGAAGTCTTGCCAGGTTGCCCTGGCGGGTCTCGAACCCACGGGCTCAGGCAATCCACTCACCTCATCCTCCCAAAGTGCTGCTGTTATGGGCTGAGCCACTGAGCCCAGCCTGGATTAACTTCTTAAAAAATAATGATATATGGCTTAGTGATACCTTATAGTGAACAAAAGTTCTTGATTTTAATGTAGTCTGTTCTTTTTTATGGCTAACGACTTTTGTGTCCATAAGTAGCAAGGCTGTCTCTGTTTTGAGATTATAAAGTGATTTGCCCCATATTTTCTTCTAGAGTTTTATTTTTACATTAAAATTTTTTTAACCATTGTGGAATTTTTTTTGGTTTGTGTGTGTGTGTGTGTGTGTGTGTGTGTGTGTGTGTGTGTGTGTGTGCGTGTGCATGCACATGTATGTATGTATGCTTATTTTTGTTTTCCCACTGGCTACCTAGTTGTTCCCATACCACTTTCCCCCTATAGTTTAAAATGCCACCTTTTTAATCTTCTGAATTTCCATATATAGCATTTGAGTTTCTCTCTAGTCTCTAGTTCATTAAGCTTTCTGCCTATCCATGTGCCAGAACTAAACTTTTATAGCCACTGTAACTATAAAGTGTTAATGTTTATAAGGCTAATCCTTATTGCTCTTTTTTTCCAGAAATGTTTTGGCCTTGCTTGTGTTTATTTTTCCATATGAACTTTTAAAATTAGTTTGTGTAGTTAAAAAGAATTTTATTAGGCTTACACTAGAATTATATTCTAAATCTGGAAGAATGAATACCTGTGATACTGTTGCTTTTCTAAGAACAGACCATACAATTGGTTTTATTTAGGTCATCTGGGTCCTTCAGTAGGTTTTCTTTGATTACTTCATACATCTTTTTTAAATTTATGGACTACCTTAGACATACCAAAAAAAGTCTTAATATAATGAATACCATGTACCCACCACCCAATTTAAAAAATAAAACAACCAGCTGGGTTTAGTGGCTCAGCCTGTAATCCCAGCACTTTGGGAGGCTCAAATGAGTGGATTGCCTCAGTCTGTGGGTTCCAGACCAGCCTGAGGAACTTGGCAAGATCTCGCCTCTATAACAAATAAAAAACTAGCCAGGTATGGTAGTGCATACGTGTAGTTTTGGTTACTTGGAAGGCCGAGGCAGAAGGATCACTGGAGCCCAGAGATTGATACTGGGGTGGCTATGATGTGCCACTGCACTCCAGCCTGGGCAACAGAGTGAGACTCCAACTCAAGTAAATAAATAAATAATACAACCAATATAGATAAAGATGCTAATGACTGGGTGTGGTGGCTCATGCCTGTAATCACAGCATTTTGGGAGGTCAAAGTGGGAAAATTGAACCCAGATGTTTGAGACCAGCCTAGGCAACATAGTGAGACCTCATCTCTGCAAAAAGTCAAAAAGTTAGCCAGGTACGGTGGCACACACCTGTAGTTCCAACTACCCAGGAGGTTGAGGCACAGGGATCTCCTGAGCTCAGTAGATTGAAGCTGCAGTGAGCTGTGATCATACCTTTGCTCTCCTGCCAGGGCAACAAAGTGAGACTCCAACCTAAAAAAAAAAAAACAACTTTAGAGTAGGCAAAGATTTCTTAAGCAAGGATACAAAAAGCCACTTAACCATAAAGAAAAAAGTGATAAATTAGACTATGTTAAAATTAAGAAGGCACCTTGAGATCATGTAAAGATGAGTCATAGACTAGAAGATATGTGCAATGAGCATAGGACTACTAATATACGCTAGTACATATACATATCAAGAAGTCCTTAATAGAAAACAATCAAGAGACTTGAGTGGCCAACAGATGTGTGAAGAGGTGGTCAACTTCATTAGTCATAAATAAAATGCAAATTGAACTATAATGAGATATCACTAAACTCAGCGGTATGAATAAAATGAAAAAGACTGAGAATACCATGTGTGGTGAGGACTTCCTCTTTGACCCGTGGTTATTTAGAAGAGTGGTGTATAACTTCAAGTGGTTGAACAGTTCCCTCTTAACTTTCTTTTACTGATTTCTAGTTTAATTCCATTATGGTCAGACAACATTATATGATTTCAGTTCTTTTAAATTTGTTAAAGTTTGTTTTGTGATTTTATGACTCAGAATGTAGCCTATCTTGATGAATTATTCATGTACATTTGAAAATATATGTATAGTAAGTCCCCTACATATGAACAAGTTCCAAGAGTGTGTTTTTAAGTCCAATTTGTAAGTCCAATAAAGTTAGCCTAGGTGCCCAACTAACGCAATTAGCCATATAGTACTGTACCAGCTACATCACTGCTGTGTTTACACTTGCTTCCAGACATCTTGGGCTTGAAATAAAGATACTTTACTATTGTACTGTATACAATACTGTGCAGTAAAGTATACAGAAGCACGACCACTTGTAGAGAATGCACACATGTGATATTGTATGCCAGACATGTGAACTAATATGATTGGACATGCAAACGCAAGTTCACATCTTTGAAAGTTCACAACTTGAAAGTTCATATATAAGGGACTTACTATATTATATATACTATTATCAGGTGGGATATTTTCTAAATGTCAGATCTAGTTGATTGATGGTGGTGTTCAGTCTTATTCTTTGCTGATTTTCTCTCTCCTAGTTCTGTTCATTATTCAGAGAAGTGTCGAGGTCTCCAACTCTAATTGTGGATTTGTCTGTTTTTAATTTCTGTCAGGTTTTGTTTCATGTATTTTGAAGCACATTTGCTTAGTGCTGTGGCCTGCGCAGCTGCCTTGAGGGTCCCAAGAGACAGCGGCGAGAGATTAAGAAAGACATAGACACAAAGGCATAAAGAAAAGCTGGGGACAGGTGGGACACTTTCCTCTGATGAGGAGAAGTGACCCCGAACTAGCTCAGCATGTTTAATTATAATCAAGCACAAAGGAAGGGATTCAAGGTCTGTGAGGGAGCTATAACGGAACTTTGTAGTTCCTACCTAAAGGCGAGCTGTTCCACGGTTATCTTGTAGCTAAAACTTAATTTATGCTATGTGCACCTGGATATGTAGGCATCTGAGACACCATTTCGTGTAGCAGGCTGCATCCCCTTCCTTTGGCTAGGATGCAGAGCTCCCAAATGAGACCTTGCCTATGAGCTTGGGGCCATTAAGTGAGACCTTGCCTTCGCTTGGGGCCTTTACTGAAGGCCTGCTACAGTGACAGTGCTCGTCTGCTCCTCACACCACATCTGCTCCCAACAGTTTAGGATTATGTCCTCTTGGTTAATTGGCCCTTTTATCATGATGTAATATCCCTCTTTATCATTGGTAATTGTCTTTGTTATTAAGTCTACTTTGCTTGCTTGACATTAGTATAGCCGCTCCAGCTTTCTTTTGATTAGTGTTTGTATGGCATATTTTTTTTATCCTTTTATTTTTTTCCCAACTTTTAAAATTGTGGTAAAATACACATAACATAAAAGTGACCACCTTAACCATTTATAAGTATGTAATTCAGTATTAAATGTTAATACATTTATAATGTTGTGCAACCATCACCATTGTCCATCTCCAGGACCCCTTTCATCTTGTAAAACAAACTCTGTACACATTAAACAATAACTCCCCACTCCCCTCTCTTCCAAGCCCCTGGCAACCACCATTCTACTTTTTGTCTCTAAGATTTTTAACTACTCTAAGTATCTCCAATAAGTGGAATTATACAGTATTTGTCCTTTTGCTACTGGCTTTTTTCCACTTAGCATCTCAGGTTCTCAAGATTTATCCATGGTGTAGCATGTGTCAGAAGTTCTTTCCTTTTGAAGACTGAACAATAGTTCATTGTATGTATATACCACATATTTCTTATCCATTCATCAATGGACACTTGGTGCTTTCACATTTTAGCTATTATGAATAATGCTGCTATAAACATCGGTACACAAATATCTGCTTTCAATTCCTTGTGAGTATATACCTAGAAGTAGCTGCTATGTCATTTGGCAATTCTGTTAATTTTTTGAGGAACCATCATTCTGTTTTCCACAGAAGTTGCACCATTTTACGTTTCCATCAACAGCGTACATCTTCACTAACACTTATTTGTTTTTTTAATAGTAGTCATTCTAATGGATGTGAGATGAAATCTCATTGTACTTTTGATTTGCATTTCCCTAATGATGTGCATCTTTTCATGTGCTTGTTGGCTATTTGAATATCTTCTTTGGAAAAATATTTATTTAACAACTTTGCCCATTTTTAAATGAGATTGTTTTCTGTTGTGTTCTAGGAGTGCTGTAGATATTCTGTATATGAATCTCTTGTCAGATATATTATTTGCAAATATTTTCTTCCATTCTGTGGATTGCTTTTTTACTCTGTTGATAGTGGTTTTCGCTGCACAAAATTTAAAAATCTTTATGAAGTCCAATCTGTCTATGTTTTCTTTTATTGCCTATGCCTTTTGTGCTATATCTAATAAGTCATTATCAAATTCATTGTCATAAAACTCTTGTCCTGTTTTGTACTAAGTGTTTTATAGTCTTAGGTCTTACATTTAGATCTTCGATCCATTTTTGTTTTAATTTTTATATATGATGTTAGGTAAGGGTCCAACTTTATTATTTTGTGTATGGATATCCAGTTTTTTTCTAGAAGCATCTGTTGAAAAGACTAACCTTTCCCCTATTGAATGATCTTGGCACCTTTGTCAAAAATTGTTTGACCATATATGCCAAGGTTTATTTCTGGACTTTCTATACCATTGGTCTATATATGTGTCTTCCTACCAGTACCACACTGTTTTGAATACTGCAGCTTTATAGTAAGTTTTTGTTTTTGGTTTTTTTTTTTGAGTTGGAGTCTCACTCTGTCGCCCAGACTGGAGTGCAGTGGCCGCTCCCAGCCTCTGCAGCCTCGACCTGCTGGG